TAAATTCTCTATCTCTTAAAATAAAAAATTTAAATTCAATTTGGATCACTCAAAATTGATCTGAATGATTCAGAGTAAGATGAGCACTCCATGTTCATGGGATGTGTTTTGGATTCGAATTAGAGATTTATTTCAAAAGTTCAAATGGTGGCTAATAAGTTGATACACTTCATTTACAATACTGTTAATTTATTTATGCCTAAAAATTCGATGCATTGTTAGACATTATAAGCACATACCATTAAGGCATTAAGATACAACAAAAGTGAGATCATAAAAGCATCTCATTTAATTAGGTAAAAAAAAAAAACACACACACACACAGAGGATGTCGGATATTAGGACCACGGTTGCTATATATGGTCATGGCCTCATGGAATTGGTCCCGCAATAGTCTTAGGTTGCAAACTTTTAGTTTAGATACAGCCCCTAGTAACAAGTTGCTCTAATAATACAAAATTAATTTCTTCATGTGATTCATATATAGAAGTGGGGGTTTGGTTTCGGATGAGTGTGATGATATTGACACCTAACTTCCAAAATTAATTTAATTAGATTGTCCAAATTCCCAGTTTTTAAACTATAATTTTTCATATAATATATATTTTTCCCAAAAAAATAACAATTGAAAGATTCTTTTACTTCCATTTGTATATTATTAAAATAAAAATATTGACAAGATAATAATAAAATCAAATCAACTCTATACCATCCAATCTTAAAATGGATATATCATTATATCAAGCCATTTCCATCATGTGTGGCTAGGTTTGATACAAATACCCTGACCATTTCTTTGCCTATATATATACGTGTGTGTATGTGTCTATATATATACACGTTAGCAAAAAAAATCTACACACACACACGCAAGTGAGTTCTGTCTATTCCCAATGTTTGATTTATAGAAAACCGTGCGTTGTGAATTGATAGATATTTTTGAGCTTTTATTGCATTGTTGTGTCGCTATCATTTACTTGTTGGCCATTCACATATGAATCGTTGCGTTGCTGATGATAAGAATTCAACTGGTTCAATCAGGATAGAGTTTGTCATTTTCTCACTTCCCACACGGGCAAGATTTATCTTTTTGTTCCAGCAGGCTATTACACGGAAAAAATTTAAAAACAAATAGTTATGTAATGTGAAAATATAATACTTCATCCGTTCCCTTTTATAAGAGATGATTACTCAAATTACATTGTCCAAAATGTTAGTTAAAATTAGCTAAAGACAATAAATGGGCAAAAAGTGTAACCTTTTGCCCAAAAAAAAACCCTCATTTATGTGGAAGAGAGATAATGTTTGGGTGAAACAATATGTGAGAATTAAATACAATGATATGAGTAATATGAACAATTAAATGGGAGTAAAATGGGAAATCGACAAACAAAATTTGAGATAACCTCTAAGTTTCTCTTATAAAAAAAAAGCATGATGTACTTCACAATTGTTTCTTATACTAAGAAACAGAGGGAGTAGTTATTTTAGCTTAATCAAGATATCTATTAGAACACAAAACAACAAAGTTTGTAGCGGGCTTGACCATACAAGTAAAGCTTATTGTAATACTTGATTTAGCAGTGGTTTTGGAAACTGATATATGCAATTGTTGTAGCAGTCGTAACTGTTAGGAGTGTTAGATATGATTAGTTTTGATGATGTCAAATAATAGAGCAAAAAGTTTGCATAAATTATTTACCTTATATTTTGACTAACTATCATACTTAATATCCTGTGTAGTTTCCTCAAGAAAAGAAAGGAGTTATTATGTTGAACTTTGAGTTGTGAAGAATGATCAAGAGGAAGAAGAAGAAGAGAGATTGAGAAGAGAAGAACTTGCAAGACCAAATGGAAATATCAAGATTCAAGTTCATAGATTTGATGTTAAAGGTTGCTATGCTCAATCAGAAGTTTGAATGGCTCAATTGGAAGCTAAAATGCACAAACCGGAAGTTATATAATCATATATTGAGTCACCCTTCGTATAAACATGGAAAATAAGCTTCAGAGGTGATTTTCATGGGCATTTATCGATCACTTGATCGATCATCCACTTATCGATCAAGTTATCGATAAAACACATACTCTGTTATGCTCTGTTCTTCATTCAGCTTTGACATAGGTTCGGTATTTCTCTAATATCTCTTAAACCACAAATCCGTTTGAGGTGAAACTTAATTCATATGAAACTAGACTTAGAACACGGTTCATGGACACCAAAATAAACTTCAAAGAGTTTCATATGAGGGAGATATGTTGTTCGAAACATTAAAGTGAGGATTAACGCCTTGATTCCGACCTTCAGTCACTCTGATGAAGATAACTTCGTAACTACGATGAATTTTGGGGTGATTCTTGTTGCATTAGAAATTATACTCAAAGAGATTTCTGGGGATAGGTCATTTGCAAAATTTGGAGTTGAATTGGAAGAGTTATGATCACTCAAAGTTGACCTTTGTTCTGCTTGAATCAGAATTCGAATTTATTGAGGCAAAGACCAGAAGTTCTACATTGATTGATTAAGCTCTCGAGCAACATGCTACTCAAACATGTTATTGAGTAAAAGCACTAGAAGAATTGAGGAAATGAAAAGCCATTATCAGATGTTACTCGAGCGTGATCAAGCAACTATATACTCGATCACTTTATAGAGTTCCTGGTACCATCTCTTCAATTTTTTTCTTTTATCTTCACATGCATTATTAAGGTTTTATCAATAACCTGTTGGATAAATAGTCTTCAGATAACGTTATGGATAAATGTATTTATCGATCACTTGATCGATAAACAAGGTTAACGTTATGGATAAACAGGAATTTATCGATAACATGATCGATAAATAGATTATCAATGAGAAGACAGATAAATGGTAATGCATTCTACTCATTCTATGTTTTGCTTTAGTCTCCATTTATCGATCACCTTATCGATCAGTCATTTATCGATAATGTGATCGAACATTGCGTCATAACTCTGCGCGCAGGTAATTATTTCAGTACCTTATCGATCACCTGATCGATCAGCAAATTATCAATCACATGATCGATAATCAGCGCATCGCTTTTAAATCATGGTTCTTCGATCACTGGATCGATAATCATATTATTGATAATATGATCGATCACCGCACTTCATGTTTACCTTGTTTTCACATAAAGTGATCGATAAATCAGTTCTTTGACTGTACAGGATTAAACCTCTTTTATCGATCACTTGATCGATCATTACTTAATCGATCATCTATTCGATTAACCTATATAGCCTGTGTTTTCATTGAATATACTTGCTTATTGTTTATCGATAAGGTTATCCATAATCTATTTATCGATAATGTGTTCGAAAATTAGTGCTTCAAAATCTATTTCTATAATACTTTGTTTATTGATAACCTGATCGATCAATAAGTGTTCGATCACTTGTTCGATCATTGTACAAGTTCATTTCATAATAGCATTTCACGATAATTTTGAAATCTTTTATCATTTTATCTTTAAGCTTTTCTCAGCCTTCTTTTTATATAACTCTCTATTGAAAGGATACGAAGGCAAACGTAACTTGAAAAAGATTATCCTTGCATAATCCATTTAAAGCTAACTGCATTCATGTTTCATCAGTTATTGATCATTTGTTCGATCATCATATGATCCATAATCTATTCGATAATTGCATATATCTGCTATATCTTTTCTTCATGTAATTAATCGATAATATGATCGATCAAAGGATTATCGGTCAAGGCATCAATTAAGTAAGTTCATCATACTTTCTGAATATTTGAATATCTGATGATTGATTCCATGTTTTCCAACTTATTGTTTCTAAGATTATCAGATATTTATCACTTGATCTGAGGAAGATTATTTCAGGTAAAGAGCCACAACGAATTTATGATGTGAAGAATCAACTTTTGTCAGAAGCTTCCAACGGCTAGTTTCAACGGTCATATTCTTCAAGCCAAACGGGAAGAAAATGCTCAACGATCAAGTACCCAACATCATCTATAAATAGAAGAGCATTGAAAATAAGAAAATAGAGAAGAGTCTGAGCTTACAACATCAAATGCTAAAATGCCGTATCAACATATTCTCATTTAGACCTCCAAGAGAAAACTCCCTGTCTCTGTACTTCATAGACTAAAACATATGTACTCGTAAGATAGAGAAGAGAGTTTCCCAAACGTGCTTAAGATTTATCTATCACTTCTTTAAGAGAAGAAATATTCAATCTTCTTTATCATTATTAGATTGTATCCTTACAGTGAGTAAGGGGGAGTATTTATCTCGGTGTGAGATTACTATTGAATAGACTGGTTAGTCTAAGAATTGTAAGTGGCGTCACAAGTGCCCGGATCAAACTTGTGGTTGTAGTAGTTCTCAAGTACCCGTGTTAAACTTGAGGGAGATAGTCGATTGAAAACCTCAGGGGAGCCTGGGGACTAGACGTAGGTCAGTAAGGACCGAACCAGGATAAATCACAGTTTGCATCTTCTCTTCCCTTACCTTTTTATATTTCCAGCTAAATCATTTCACTACTGTGATTATACTTATGTCGATTCATTGTTTTTATACTCAAAATTTTTATGAATTTCATTACATTGCGAAAAGGTTTTTAATTTTAATTAACACCCAATTCACCCTCCCTCTTGGGTGTTCAGCCATTCTTACAAGGAGACCTATGAAATAATTGTTACAAATTATTGATTTTTTAGTGACAAAATTCCTTCAAATTCAACAAATTCACGTGATTCAATAGATGGTGAAAATATAGATAAAGATCCAAAGTCAAGAATCGTGCTTAGAAACTTGAAGGTGTGTTCATATTGTTGAACAACAAAACTCAAACAATCAATGATTTGGTTAATCTTTAATTACAGTATACAACAATAGAGTCTCAAATGCACCCATTCTTTCCTTTACAGTATGTCATATACATTTATGCCTTACTTTGATTGCTTAAATGAACATATAGGTTGGCTACTATACTGATAAAGTAGTAAAATTCTAATTGACCAAATTGAGGATGAATATAAAAATATTTGCCTGACTAAATTCAAACTATTATATGTTTATATGCTAATACTATTAGCCACCCCTCTGCAAGTGGCTCCGGGACCAGAACTAGCCATGAGCAACTCATATGGTGGAATTCCAGCCCCACATCTATTTCTCAAATTTGGGTCTCTATTTCTCTTCTCAATCTCCTTTTCTATTCTTTTTAATTCCATTGAGAACCTATAGAATGCCTCTATGATTTCAGGGTCGCTAGCCCAATCTGAAAGATCCTTCCTTTCTCCCAAATACTCTTCCTCTGGAGAATGTTGTGAAAGAATGTTGACCACAGCCAAAAACTTTGTGGTCTGAAACAAGTCAGGCATTGAGCTCAAAAGGTACCCTTCTGGGTCCTTCGTGAACTCTTTGTACTCTTGGTCATCTTCTTTGGGTAATAGCCTTTTCATCAATGGAGGACGCATAGGGACATACCCTCCGTAAGGATATTGCCCAAAGTTCACTGCAGAATGTTGAACTGATGCAATCCAAATCAGAGTTGTGAGTATAAAAATGAGGTCACTGGGAGTGGAGAGTTTAGGCCACCAACTTGCATTTTTGTGATCTACATGGCCCAAATTTATGACCTCACTATACCAAGCTTGAAGCTCATTATCTGATTGAACCATGAGCCCATCACGATAATAGTAGGTCACATAGGTCCTAACCCAATTCTCTATTGCAAGCCAAATGGGAAGGCCATCATTTGCATAAGGATAGTCTTCAACGAGCAGTTTCAGTCCATAGGGTTTGGTGTGATCAGGTTCAGCCAATCCTCTGCATTACGAAGAGTTCATTAGTTAATCTTTTTGTTTAGCACAACATTACAAATTGAGATTTAGAAATTAACTGTGATATATATTAGAATTCAAACCTTCTGATAAGATCTCTAGGAAGGGCTTCCATGTCAAATCGCCACCAATCTTTGTAAGCAGCAGAAACAATGTGATTACAATATTTACCACAAGAGAAGTCAGATTCAATTATGCCTCCAGCACTTATGAGAGCTTCACGAGCTAAGGCATTTATTTGCAAGGTGCCTTTCATATGAGGCTTTAGAAGTTTGAAAATTGGGTGCATCGCACTCAGTTGCCTATGAGCTGCTATAATAAACGGTTCCATACATGCATGTGTCCTCAACCTGTATATTCCAAGATGATTCCAAGTTTAATTAACCGTTAAAATTTGATTCATTCATCAGTTTGAACCTTAAATATCTCAAGGAAGAATAGGTTTATGGGATAGCTTACCAGTGTTGGACAAGTTGGTGGACACCAGAATCGTTAGAGCAAACGTGTGCTTTGCCAAGTTGCCATAACCAATAAGAGTTGGAATCCTCAGGAGGGGTCAGGACATGTTTGGACGCACGATTTGGATATCCGTGCGGAAGACTAAGCTCAATTGCTATGGGCTTCAAAGTTCCTAGTCTGGTCAAGAAGAATATGGTTCGGGTGGCATAAGCCTGCCGATCTTCTTGAGCATTTATGCCTTTGAGAAATGGAATATAAGCATCATGATAATCCAATATGAATAACTTTTTCTCTTCTAATGCCTGTAGAAAAGAAAAATAAAACGATATTTAGATCGAAAGTCTAATATAATAACAAAAAGTCATTTTTCACAATTGCCGCCAATACACTAGGGGGAAAAAAACTAATTAAAGTTGCTTGATAAAAATTCCACACATTCAGTGGTAAGTTTTCTGAATCTAATTTTTTTTTAAAAAAAGGAATTTTTAGAGAGAATACCTCTTTTACTGACATTCCATGGAGTTGGGGCAAAATGTGTTCGTCTTTGAGAGCAGACTCTTGAGGACCATATATAGATGGATCCAAATCGCTCTTTGGAGGAAAGGTCTGCAAAATTTTAGAGGTGAGAAGTTAGGATACATCATTAATTACTCTGGTTTGATTTACTTTTTTAAATTCAGTCCCAAAAAAAAATTCACTTTTTTAAATTAGATAAATTTTCTTTAGACAGTTCTACTTACTTTAAGCCTTTTTATGCTCAAAGGGTTGATTCCAGCCAATGTCTGACGGCCAAGTTCCTCATCTCTTATGCAAAAGCCACTGTTGTTTCCTGCAATTATTGATAATTGTGTACTAAATCAAGACATCTTATAATTCAAAGGTGAAGAATTGATTAAAATTTTACAGAACTAATTAAATGTACAGAAATAGCTATATGCATACCTCTGATTATGTTTGGAGTATTAAATTTGAAGTAGTCATCCAAACAATCTTGGATCTTATTGCTCACACCTTCACACTTCAATTCATGCCAAGTCTTTCCATTGTAAATGTTTGTAACATCTGAAATTTGTTTGAAATCTCCACATTTCGTGACACAAGTTTTGAAGAAAGGAAGAAGATTGCGAGTTATTCCTTTTGTCCTTTCCACATCGAGAGCTTCCATTCTAATCCCATCAAATACTTCATCTCTCGGCACATACGTTTCATTGAATGCATTTACGGGTGTCTCGGCTTTCTGGTCTGGTTTATTTATGAAGTCCCAAATGAATGATAATAAATTATCAATAAAATTTTATTTTACAACCATCAATATAAACATAAATCATAACAATAAAATTGTGCTCACTTTAGTCTTAAATATAGGATTTCATTAGAAACTTTACTTTGGCCCTAATTAAATTTAAGATACTAATCTATTTTATCTCCCAAATTTATAGTTTTTTTTTCAAACTACCCCTTTTGATTGCACATGCCAAAAAGGGTTTTTATTAAAATAGTTCTAATGCAAATAATTAAAACGAGCATTTGGGAAAACCAAGGTATATTTTTACAAATGACTAATCTATTTAATTTGCTTATATTTACAAATTAGTTATCTAGTTTTCACATGAAGAACTAAAAGAAGTATTGGGTATACAACTTAGTCGGAAGCTTTATTTTTCATATCTAAATAGTTAAAAAACTTTGAAGCTAAGGTAACCATTAGTTGAATTAATATTCTCTTATTTTCTTTTACATGATTTAGAGGTCCTAATCACCATATGAAGTGAAGTTATATGAGCGGGGTAGGATTGAATACTCACCATAAACACATGGATTACGACCAGTTCGACACCGCCTAGGATAAGGGAATTGATGATGGCCACCAAATATAGGCCTTGAGCCTACTCTTGTTTTGTCTGGATTCCCCAAATCATTGTACAAATCATAGTCATAAATCCTATCACCATGCTTTCTCATGCCTTTTCCATCTCCTCTTGTTTGCCTTAGCTCTTGTTTTCTTAGCTTTCTTAGACCACCCGGAGTCTCCCAAGGTAAATGAGCCTGTTTGAAAGTTACAAGATCAACCCATAAGTCTCAAATTGATATATAGCCAGAAAGAAATTAAAACGTCATATTACAATGTGCACTTATATTACCCTGTTAGTGAAGAAAATTCTCTTCTCTGGATGAAGCTTCTCAGGTTGAACCCAAGAATTGCAGGGAAAATGAAGAATGCCTTCAATCACAATGTTTTCCAAAAAGAATTCCTTTTCATATTTGTTTACCACAGTGATTGCTCCTGGTAACCCAAAATCTGAATCAACCTCAAATTCTACTTTATAAGTGGTCCTGGGAGCCCCCACCTTCACGTCCTCCATCCACTTCAGTACGGCGTTTTTGCTCACCTTTGGCTCCATTGTTCCTTCATTTTCACACAGTACAAATTGAGAATTGAGACCACATATATTAGGATGCTTTGTAATTACTGATAAGAGATAATCGAATTAAACAAAGAAAGAACAACTTACTTGGGTCTGTTATTTCAGTACTCACTAACTGCATAATCATGCCCTTCTCAGACATGTTTTTGCTGAAAGCTTCAAAATGCTGAAACATCATGGACATCATCCCATTCTCTACATTTTTACTATTCTTGATAGTTACCGTGGCAGTTACTGTCACCGTTGCCGTCTCCGACTCCAGCTTCCAAGCACCGAGGTCTCTCCTGGACTCAGAACCCTTAGTAGAAGTTGAGAGTGGTGAGACAGTTTGCTGCGTCACCTTCTTCTTGCGTTCCTTTGTTGTTTGAACTGAGCAATAAAAAGTGGGAGACAAGGAAATTCTTTGCTGCTTGCTGCAGCTTTTGAAGTGAAATGGCCCTTTGGAAGCATCAAAACGAAATGATTCCACCATAGATTTACCCATAATCTCTTTGGTGAAGGTCATGTTGGAGAAATTTTTGTGTCTGTTTCTCTTCTACGCGATTTCCCTATGACTATAAACGGGGATAAGTCTTGAGTTCTTAAAATTGTGAAGTAGCTAGGGCTCTTGTTAATCTGAGAAGGGAACTAGACTTGTATTTATAGCCAAGAAAAAAGAGAGAAGTTTCCACGTAAGTATAAGTCAAACGCGTTTCAATGTAAGGTACGGATATTTCTTGAATCCATCTAAAGAGTATGAATAACGTGATGCATATGGGAACAATATTTTGTCCCATAAACTTTTTCTTTTATTTTTATTGTCCAATTAATTATAAAGATTTGACCAATAAGCCGTTAGTTAAGATGGTAAGCAGTCTTACCTTGTAAAAAGGAGAATACAAGTTCAAAATCTAGAAAATGCATTTGTTGGGAGAATGTTTCTAGACCGACAAAGATTAGTTTCAAGCTCAAACGTAACTTAGAGATACTCTAAGTTAAACCAAAAAAAAAAATTATAAAGGTTTAAATTTTAGTTTACTCGCAACATATGGTAATATAGACGTATCAGCCAAGGAGCACTCCCATAAAAGTGTCTTAGCAACATGATTAGGGTTCATTTTCTTTTTCACACTCATGTACCATTCAATTATATTAAAAATTTTATGTTTATGATTTTCATTATAACTTGAAGCATCTTGATTTCTTTTTAAACCAGAAGTATCAATACTTTTTACAACAAAATAAACATAAAGTGTGGTAAGTAATTAGTCAACAAAATAAAAAGAGGGAATAAGGACAATGAAATAAAATAGTAATATTTTTTATAGTCAAATATAAATAACTTTACATATTTTAATTAAATTATACTGCCCCTAGTCCTTAATATAAGAGCTAGTTGACTAATTTGAATAAATTAAGAAAATTAATTAAGTTAGTTATTTGTAATAAATATGTGTTATCTTCCCTAAAATACTATTGTTAATCATGTCTATTAGTAAGGGTATTTTAATATGTGCAACTAGTACAAGGAGTACATTGAGACAAAAATAAATAAGTATAAAAAAAAAGTGGATTATAATCTTATATTTATGATCACATTAAAATTTGAATTAGCTTTTATATTAAGAACTGGAGTTGGTATTATTTTATTGGAAGAATTATAATCAGGTCCCAAAAAAAAAAATACAAAATAAGTCCCAGAAGTTGTTATTTTTTACTTTAAAACTTGTCATTACAAGCTGCTTAGATTGTTATTAAGACCTTTTAGTAATTATTTTTCTTCTTTGAAACTTGATTGTAATTCTCCCTATATTTTCTCATGTCATTCCTATTTATACGTAATGCATATTTAATTAATTAACACAAATTAAGAAAGTTAATTAAATTAGGTGACTGTTGTTTTAAAGCTATCATATATTTCCACAAATGTCCTTAATTAAATGTAGGTTCTTGGTACTCTCTTTCAATCTCGCTCTCCATTATGATTACTCAACAATATCCATACGCTAAATAAAAAATTAATATCATCTGTTGTATATATTCTACAAATGACTTAAAAATCGAAACATAAAAAATTCTACAAGATGACTCATACAAGAAAACCAATCCAGTATAACAAATTTTATTCATATGACAACTATTCACAACATGTAATATTCTGTAAGTAAACTCAGATTTTCAACCCAATAAAAACCATAGCATGAATATAATTTTTTTTATGATTTAACTACACCGCATAAATATACACAGTTCTATTTTATATGCTCCAATGAAAAACTTCAAAGAATTGTTTTAAACGTTTAAATGCTGGACAATAAAATGAAATATTTCACTTGCCTTCAAGGCTTATTGATGCATGACTAAAATTCAGTTCATTGAATTAAGATACCATATAGGCGCGCCCGCTCACGGGTTGCAGTTCCATGTTGTCTTGAGCCAAGTAGGCCGATTTAGAGTATATTGGGGACATGAGTATATTTTTGCCTGCAAAATTTCATGTGAATGGGGCTTAACAAATAATACACTAACCATTTCTTGGTCCGCATATACAACAAAAGAAACCCTAGTGAATTTGGCCGACATTTGGACCTTTGCATTGTCCTGTGGCTCTCCTTTGCCTGTCGTTTCAATTTTGCAGTACATGCTGATGATAATATAGTTTCGGTTTCTCTCTTATCACGTGGGCATGCTTTAGCTTCTGATTATTCTCAAGAAAGAATTGAATTTTCGATATTAAATTAAACTGAATGGTCAGCATTTATATATTAATTATTTTACATTTATAATAATTTTTATTTTAAAATAGAGATAAATTTTCTAACTGTCATCCCAAGAAAATGATTTTTGTTTAAAAAAAATTATAGATTAAAAATCTGAATTTAGATAATCTAAATTTAATTTAGAAACTTCAAATCTTAATACTATCTCTACTCCTTAATATATGAGAGTATCATATGTATTTTTTGATATAACTCAGAGTATCCTAAGTAATTTTGAACTAATTTCTATTAGGTCAGGAGCGTTAAAGTTAAAGTTTTTCCAACAATTACACTTCTGAGAATTCGAACTTCTATTCTCCTCTTTACTATGTGGGTGAAACTACCATCTCAACTAATAATTTATTGGTAAAAGTATATATTTATCTTAATCTATATATGTATCTATTTTGGACAAAACTTATATCAAGTTACTTAGGTCAAGTATGTCAAGTTAGCTAATCAAACTATGCCAGCTGTATTAATTTTACACATCATCATTTAACTCCAAAACAACTCTTAAACACCATTAAAACAACTCTGGAAAAATATTTTTTCTTTTTAAAATAAAAGACAGATCTTTAAGCTTAGGGCAACCGTGAAGAAAGGCTGCGATCGTGAAAGAGAGCGTATGGCAGCAAAGGACGACAAACTAAGAAGTTGCAGCGGCCATTAATACACAAGCTTGTGAGTAGAATTGGCAGTGACTCGAACAGACGGCAACACAATCAATGAAGGAGGGGATGCACAATTTGGCTTGTGGGCTACGAATTGCTTTTTGACTTAAGAATTTGTCCATCATAGTCAGGTTCCCTTACCCTCCTTCTCCAAACAGTTCTGAACTGCTTTTTAGTTTGATTTCATATATTGATTGAATTAGTCATAAGTCTTCATTGTGAATCTTCTTATGCCGTTGAAATAGAATTTTTTTTTTTTTTTAAAAAAGGGAGGAAACACCATTCTCTTGTCGCATTTTCCAATAGAAATTAAGTGTGTATGAATTAGTGACTGCAGTTGCTTGGAGATATAAGAAATTTGATGGCGTTTAGAAGAAAAGATATTTTTTGTCACTGAACCCGAAAAAAAAAGGTTTTTTAGCCTTATTTTAACGGTGTTTAAGAGTTATTTTGGATTTAAATGATGATGTGTAAAATTAATTTAGCTGGCATAATTTGATTGGCTAACTTGACGTACTTGACTTAAATAACTTGATATAAGTTTTGTCCTTAAATTATATGTACATGTATATAATTCAAACGAATAGACTGCTGAACTCCGTTTTTTCCAGCCTTATTTCCTCCACACACATGGATAGCCCTTTCCTGCAAGCGTCAATTATTGAAGATTCCTCTTCTCACGGAAAATAAACGTGGGAATAGGCACCGCCCGTGTTTTTCGTGTTGCTTATTTATAGACTTCACACAAATACCAAAGGATGAGGTTATGGGGTCTAAAAAGTTGGACGAAACAGGCAAAAGAAGTACAACCTTCTCTTCTAGATATAAGAATTAGTTAGAGATATAATTTAGTTTTAAATATAAGACTTTAATATTTTTTTTTTCAAATATGTGTCATTTACTCTCCAAATAATCCGTATAGTAATTATATATGTTAAGAAATTTTCATAAAAGAGTAATTTTAATGCATATGATTCATAGGGGATAGTTTAAACATTCATTTATATATTATAAATAACTAATTTAACTAACTTCTTTGATATTAACAAATTAATAATCTAATTTTTATATTAAAGATATTTTTTAGGCCAAAACTTTTATATTAAAGATTGGAGGTAGCATTTTGGAACTAAAGAGAAAATGAATTGTATTATTGGAATTTTATAATTGTCAAAAATAGGGTTTTACTCAAAGTAGTTTTCTTACATATTTTTGGTATCAAAACTTATTTACACAGCTACAATGAGGACCTTTTGGATATTGCGATAAAATTGACTTTGGAGATCAACAGAGGTAAACTGCAGGGGGAGCAAATAGGCCAACAGAGGTACTAAAATAAGGAGAGGTAGATAGGCTTTAATTAGCTCTATGGAAAGACGCATAGAGGGACACCGCGAATGATTCCTAGAGATCCCCATGAATGGCTTACTAGAAGAATTGGTATCCAACATAACACAATCGCATCATGTGATACTTGCACCTAGTTGATCCCGCTTAATATGAGAAGACTTTTGTTATTATTGTTGTTCACGAAAAATGAACAGATTTTACAACTTTTAAATGATACGATTCATCCATTAATTCTATGTTTGGTATGAAGAAAATGGAGGAGAGAAGAGGGAAGCAAAAATTTTAATGAGTTTGATTTAAAAAATTGAAAAAAATAGTTAAAAGCTTTTAATTAATTTTATTACTTTTTTATCTTATAATTTTTCTCTATTAAATTTTAAAACTCTACTTTTCTAATTTCTTATTTATTAAAAGTTTTCGTCCCCTCCCTTCCATTTCTCTCATGCTAAAGGAGCCTAAAAAATCAATCTTTATAATTATGGTTAGCTATAAGGTCCATTGAAATTACATGTGACTATTTGGCAATGATATTTGATAATAGCAAGAACTTTAACCATCCTGACCACCACTCTAGGAATTTATTCCTTAATGACTATAGGCAACTTAACCCAAACTCCTATATTTAGTATAAGACCTAATTGACCAATTTGATAAAATTAAAAAAATTATTAAATTAATTTAAATTATTTATATTTATTATTTTTGTCCAAAGTAATTTATCTCACATATAAATTGATATACTACCTTCGATACTTAATATAAGATCTAGTTAATTAATTTGAGTA